ATTGAAAAATAACTTTACCACATTGACCCTGATCCTTGATAGCCACAACGGCACCTTTCTCTCTCCAATCCACAGACTCGGGCAATTTATCACCAACCCTAAACACATACCTCTGGCTCTTCTCCTTCCCTGCAAGCCTATGTGACACGGTTTTCCCATCCAACCTGGCACCCAAATACATAGCCCTGTATTCTTCATTGGTCAAATCCGCAAACCTGTTAAGACCAACCTTGTACGTGCGGTTAACAGAGTTATGTTCCTCAATAAACTTGAGGTTATCCTTAAAGATCTCAAAGCGCTTTTCGTTCTCGCCCAGGCCATTGTAAGCCTTGCCATGCTTCACCAGCCAAGTCTGGTACATTCTCCGTATCTGGGTCTCGGTTCTTTTCTGTTGTTGTCCTCCATGCTTGAGATCATAGTCGATTATGGACATGTCCAACGCTGATGACAGAGTTAAAAGAAAGAAAAGCATGACAAAGAAGATACGAGAAGGTTTCTTGAGAAGAGCCATGGTTTGGATTCGTGCTAACATGGGAGATGAAAAGTTGATGAGGGAAAGTAGGTTAATTTGTTGGTATTTGTAGGAGAAGAAAAATACAGGAAAACTGCCTTGAGGTTGGAGTTTGGAGTTCGTATCTGTCACGGCTTGGTCATGGGACAAGCTGACCCACCCTATATTTGGAGAAGTGCGTGGTTTAAGATAATTTCGCTTTGACCAGAAGTAGGATTGGTCGGGGAATTTTACGCATGGGTTGTATTGTCTTTCTAGCAAATTGAAGTTGGCCACGTGAATCCCAGTAGCTATGTGCTGTCCATGTTGAACTAGAATTCTCATGAAGGATTTTGTTTGGTTATATAACAGTTCTATTGGATGTGAATGAGATGAAACTTGCAAACAGTTGGAGGGTTTTTTTCCTTTTAATTGAAAAAAATTCAAATTTTATTTTTTAGATAAGATATTATGTACTAATCAATAAATTAAATACTCAAATATATAAATATATTGAAAGTTTTTTTTATAAATCATATGGTATTTTGAATCACTAATTTAACAAAAAGAATTTTAGATTTTTAAAAAATATTTGGATAATATTTTTAAAATATTATTATAATAATATTTAATTAGTTATCCAAATCTTGAAATTTATAAATTTGTCAATATCCAATTGATGAGAGGGCTTTAAAATTTGGTAGGTTTAAATATTTCATTAATACTACAAAAATAAATTTAAATACAATTAAAAATTAATAGACCAAAACAATTAGGGCTAATAGCAGTTGTTAAAGGTGAGCAATTGAATAGTTTGGGTGATTTGATCCACCATAAAGATTAAATAAATCAAATATTTTTAAAAAATAGATTAAACATAAAAGAGGACCAAACTGATCAAATATTGAATTGATTTAATTGGTTCTATTTCAAATCAATGGATCCAAATCTTATCATCTTTTTACAAATTATAATATTAAAACTTATAAACTTCATCCATAATTGTAAAATATACAAATAATCCAAACATAAAAAAATAACATTTGTTCATTCACTCACATAATTATGTCATTTTATATAAACCATCAAATTAACAATCGAGATTCAACATAACAAAAAGATGATGATAATAAAATTAATATCTACAAAATAAAATTATTTAATACAAAACCATTAACTATCACAAATTATCTACTTGAATATCCTCCATGACTTGACTATTCACATTCACTTATATAAGTAGTAAGCTATTAACAATTGAAATAAAAATAAAAATATAATTAATATAAATTTTTTAATAACAAAGTAAAAGAATATTAAAAATAAAAAATTATGTAACAAGTTATAAAATTTAATATTTAGCTCAATTGAAGTGTGATAAATGCATTTCCAACCTCTTCACTCATCAATTATCAACAATAGAAATGGAATTTACAATTTTCAATATTTGACATATTTAAAATGCATAAACAAAATAGAATTAAAAGAAATAAACATATAAGAATTGAAAAAATAAAAATGAAGAAGCGAATATATTAAATGTATATTATATTTTATATAAATTTAAAAATAATATAAATATATATAATATTATATATTAATAAATTAAAAAATTAGTTTAGTTTTTTAGTCAAATTGATCTAAAAATTTTAAAATTGAGAATCAATCGAAAAACTAATTAGACCAATTGATCTGATAAATTAATTAAATTAAACCGTTTTACTCATATCACATTTAATTTAAATAAATAATTAATTTAATCTTATTTTACTTACCCTAATTGCCATGACCTCTTTTTCCTAAGCTTGAAGTTGGCCCATGTAATCTTGGATTGGCGCGCCTAATAATAAATGAATTAAACGGGAAACGTCACGGAGATATTTTGTTGCGAGCCAGCGTAAGTTATTTCGAAAAATGGGCCTCACTCCCCGTTACTCACCCCAGCAATAGAAAGTGTCTATTTTTTCAAAGAAAAGTTTTCTCATTTTCTTGTTATAATCCAAGTCAAGTTTTTCTGTTCTTGTTTACTTCTGTTGCTGTGAATTTCAGAGTTCTATGTCAAATCAAGATGCTGGGTTTTGCTTTATTTTTCTTTCCTTTGTTTACCTGCTACATTCTTTTCTTGAAATCTTGATTTGTTTTTCCAATCAATTTTCGTCTAGAAATAATCTTTTGATAATTCCTCTTGTTACGATCAGTCAAGATTTGCGGGGTTTTTCTTGACAATGCATATGTTTCTTGATCAGTTCATGAGTCTTTCTTTCGTTTACTTAAGCATCTTAATAATGTTATTTAATTTATAAACAAACTTTTTGATAATTTTATGATCTTGTCTTTCTTCTCGCATACTAAAGCCTTTTTTACCCCAATTTTTTTATTTTTAAAAAATAATTAGTGATGCTTGTGGGTTTTGCAGTCTACTTAGCTTTGAAATCCAAGCATAACTTGCATTCCACCGGCACTTACAAGGTTAACGTCGCAAATTAACTGTTTTATCGGTAGTCATCCGTACCTTTGTAAGTTTGATTACCCCATTGGAGTGTGAAATATGTTAATAAGTATGATTTTTTGATAGGCTAAATAAGTATGATTTATAATTGTAATCTTTGATTGCTTTGTCTTTCTTCTTTTCTTTAATTTATTTGTTTCAGTCTTTACTTTAAATCCCTATTTACTCATTGGTTTCAAAAAACTTTCTAGAAATAATCTGTTGATGATTTTCTCTTGTCATGATCAGTCAAGCTTTTCTGGGTTTTTCTTCACAAAGCATATGTTCTTGGGTTGGTTGGTCTGGGGGATCAATGTCCCTCTGTTTGGTTTTTGGCTGATTTAATTGTCTATTCTCTTGCGCATTTGTTTGTTTAAATCAGTTAACGAATGAAAATAAAAGGGAAGAGTTTTCACGGCAAATCTTTTGGAAAGATAAAGCATTGGAAGTTTCTTAACTTTGCTCAAATTTTCCTCAGCTTTCTCTTCAATGGTAAGTAAACTCCTTTTTCTTCTTCTTCCAATATTCCTCTCCTTTTTTCCCCTTTCATCGTAGCGTTATAAATTAGTTTTTCTTCTTCTCTTATTATAATCTCACTCAAGTTTTCTTTTTTACTTCTTGTTTTATTTCTGTTGCTGTGAATTTCAGAGTTCCATTTAATTTAATTTGATATATTTCTTTCAGCCTTTCCTTGAAATTTTGATTTTTATATTTTTCAATCAACTTTCTTCTCGAAATAATCTTTTGGTAATTTCTCTTCATAGTGCCATATGTTGCTTTGTTTGTTGTTCAAAATTCCTGCGGGCATTATGATTTTGTGAATTTCTAGTTCCCAAAAATTCTTGGAAAGAATAATTAATGATGCTGCTAGGTTTTCATTCTCTCTAGTTTTGATATTGAAGCATAATTTGCGTTACACTGAGACTTACGAGGTTAATGTCACAATTATTTTGTATGCATCCGTTCCTTAGTGAGTTTGGTATTGCCTAACTATTTTATCTGTGATTTTATTGCACGTGACTTACAGATTCTAAATTCTTAGGGGCTCGGTTTTATCAAAGTATCATAGTCATATTGTCACGGACCGCAGTTCAGCGCATTAGAGGTAGCCTGAAGGTGTCTCAAAGTGCCGGTATGTGGGGGAAGTATTGTTGGGAAAGAACCCTCACTGGATAGCGGAAAGCAAGTGCTAGGTTCCGACAGGAGTGCACAGCACAAGACCCTGGGCGAGCTAGCCCGGCAGGGTGCCAACAAGGGCCCACATCACAGGCCCTTGGGCAAGCCGTCCCGACGGGATGCCATTAAGGGCGCACATCACAGGCCTATGGGTGAGCCAGCCCGACGGGATGCTAGCAGGGGCGTACGGCACAGGCCCCTAGGTGAGCTAGCCCGACAGGACGCTAGCAGGGGCGCACGGCACCGACCCCTGGGCAAGCTAGCCCGACAGGATGCTAGAAGGGGTGCGCAGCACAGGCCCTTGGGAGAGCTAGCCCGACAGTGTGCCAGAACTGTGCGCATGTGCGCCAGCCCTCAAAACAGGGGCGCGCGGCACGCCGACCCGCATGCCATGGTTACGCGGCACGCAGGCCCGGGGCCGTCGGCCCAACAGGGGTGCGTGGCACGCAGGGACGCAAAATATGGGCACACGGTAAGCAGGCCCAAGGCCTCCGGCCAGTAGGGGTGTGCGGCACTCAAGTACGCGGCACGCAGGTGCGCGGCACGCAAGATGGCTCGGCAGGGGTGCGGCACGCAAGCCTGCACAGCGCCCAGACAGACTGCCTACGCGGGGCCTCTGCGCACCAGCCCGCCAGCGCCCAGACACGCAGCCTGTGCGCGGCCCAGTCACACCAGGGGGGCCCAAGAGGGTGCCAGACCACCAGACCCATGTAAGGAGCTGCTGGATTTCCCTCCCAAAGGAGCTTCTAGAAACTTGAGTTTCCCTCCCAAATGTTTTGAAGGGAAATCTTTTGGAGGGAAATGCTTTGGAGGGAAAATTTTGGAGGGAAATGTGTGGGGAACTTTGGCTATAAATAACCCCATGCTCCTTGTGTAAATCATCCAACACAATTCATTTCAAATTCATTCAATACAAGCTCAGTTTTTCTCTCTAGCATTCTCTTCTCATTTTCCCTTCTTGTTTATGCAAGTTTGCTTGCCGGCTTAAAGCCATTGGGTGTGAGTTCGGGTGCTGGAAGGTAGTGTGCTGCGTGCTTGCTAGGCGAGTGCTGAAGTACTAAGGCTGACTTGGGTTCTAGTGCCGAGATAAGGGTTGAACCCAAGGCCGCACGGAGGGTGGTCTGAAGAATCGCCCCGTGACAATATGCTGGGGATGTTGGTTGGTCTACTTAGCGTACTGCAGAGCCTTTGTTAAGTTTTGGTCTTTAATTTTAATGGAGAGACTGGATTTCTCTTAAAACTATTTTAGTAATTGCCTATCATGTGTTTTAGTCTTACTGATTTGTCATTCATCTTCAATTATAACTTAGATATTCAAGCCTACTTTGTGCTCAATTTGGATCTAGTTGCTAGCTTAACAACGATGCTCTTCTGTCTTAAGAATTTGGGGATAATTGTTGCTATTTTGGCTTGATATCTATAGATATAACTGGTGTTTTTCTTTTCAATTTACTTGCTTACTTCGCAATGTCCTCTTCCTAGGATTTTAAAATTTTTGAAAGCTGTAATAAATTTATCAGTGTCGAGACTTGAGACATTGTTCTAACCCATTTGATAAGCTGACTTACTTCAGCTTATATGATCGCTTTTACTTAACTCTAGTTGTTTGCTGAATGTTGCCATTAGGTTATTGCTACTTTATTGATCACTGACGTTATTGTTGGTTTTCCTTTCTGTGATTTGACTGGAAACTAAA